TCAGTTCGTACTTTCCCCTTGTACTTCGGGTTGCAATTGTTGTCCTGTCAGCAGAACTGCGAGTTAGTTCGCACTTGTCGACACCCTTCGCACTTCTCTATAAACCACATATTACTCGTTTCGTGTGTCTTTCAGGTCTTCAGTTCCACAATTCCGAGTTAGTTCGCACTTTCCCCTAGTGCTGCGGGTTGCCATTGTTGTGTTGTCTACAGAACTGCGAGTTAGTTCGCACTTGTCAACACCCTGCGCACTTACTCGTTTCGAGGGCATCTAGTCAGGTCGCAATCTTTCTGAAGAGTTGTCTTCTTCCCTCCAAACTCACTCTGCCAGCCACCCAATTGTTTTGTATTCGTTTGCATTTCAAACACCAATCTCATGCTTCGGTTTCCTTGAGCCCGGAACTGCACGTCGGTTCCTCCTTGTCAATACCCATGCGGTACTTGTTGTAGACAACTTCATTCGCGAAACTCCGAGTTAGTTCGTACTTTCCTGAAGATAAATCACCTCTTCCTCGATTCTACGACAGCGAGCTCGTTTGCACTCTGCCAAAGGACTACTGTCTTTCCTATCCTTCACCCGATTATTGTGACTTCGTGTGCATTTCGAACACCCATCTCTTAATTTTTTTTCGTCCTCCATTAGTTCGCACTTCGCTTTTGTAGTGGTCTGGGGTTGGGCGTATTAGTCATCCGAGTTGGTCTAAGGTTGGGCGTGCTAGTCAACGGGTGGGAGTACAATGGCATCCGTGAAGAACACATCCACAAGCGCTGGACCATCTACCCCCGGGGACGGACGACCTCTACAGCAATCTACTCCTCAGTATATGCACGCAATGAGAGCACAATGGTTTTTGGACTTCGTTGTTCGGTGGGACCTTTTTGGGCCAGTTGTTTTCATGCTACCCACTTCTGTTCTAGACGCTGAGGGAGTGGACAACGTTCTTCCTCTCGGTACCATCGTCGTGTGCGCCAAGACTCCCGGAGGTTTGCTCAAGCTGCATACTGTCGCCTTCTACAACGAGTGCACACTGCCTCTCAGTGGTGTTAAAGGTGTGTTGGTGACCATCAAGCGTTTCGCAGGGTACGGCTCGAACATGACGTTGTGCTCTCACTTCAAAGGCCTTTACGATGGCGGCAACAAGCGTCATCCATCGCCAGAGCAATATCTCGATCTCGCGCTGATGGTGCCGAAAGAACGTCCGGTTCTTCCGCGAGAACATGTTTTCCGGCTTCTGTCACCCCATGAGAGGTCGTCCGGCTTGGCTCAAGAAACTCCAGTTGCGGCAGTGGGGTGCGGGAGTCTGATTCAAGACGCTGGGGGTCGGGTTAAGGGGCGCGCGCGCAGCGTTCACACGCGGGTCGGCCTGGATGCTCCTGAGAACAAGTCGGACTTGCATTCTCAGGGTACAGGGACTCAACGGGTCGGCAATCCGAAACTCATCAAGGTCCGCTCCGGCGGCAACACGTATTCGCTTCGAGATGAGATGAGAAGAGAATCCGGTAGATCGAGGCAAGGTGTCGGAGGGATGGGCGCTGTCCGCGAAAGCTCTGGTGGGGAGCAGACTCCTTCGAAGAAGAAGCGCGAGCGACAGAGGATGGTGCGAGAGGAGGTGGCGGAAGGGACCCTCCGCATGAAGAGGATGAGAGGAAAATCGGAGGCGGTGATGGGCGGGGATGGAGGTGACGTCGGAGAACGTGCCTCGGGAAAGAGGCCGCCGAAGGAAGAGCGTGGGACGACAAGTAAGAAAGTGAGGAGGCCCGACGGTTTGACCATCCGCGAAGGACAAGCTGTGGGTGGAGGAGATTCGGCTGATCCAGGCGCTGCGGCCGCGAGAGAACCTTCAGGGAAATCGAAACGGAAAGTGGCAGTTGAAGAAGGCGATGGCCAGAAGAAACCTCGAAGGCGAAAGACTACTGAGGCGGCGAGCGGGGGCGAACGGTCTGTCGGTGAGGAGTGCGACGAAGTGGCAGCGTTCTGGCTCGAATACGGGCGGAACGATGGCAGTGAAATCGTGGAGAAGGAGCTCCCCGTCCAACTGCTCATCGACCCCAGGAAGATCTGCGACATCCCGTGTTGGGAAAGATATTACAACCACCGCAGTCTAAATCGCGAAACTGTGGACGACATCAAGGTTGCGAGAAAAGGGGGAAAATCTGGACGAAAAACCCTTTGGTTCTGGCACCCATCTACAAGCCGGTGACACGTAGGCTGGACAAAGCTGACAGGGTTCACAAAGATGTCTTCAAGTCATAGGACAAGGACAAGTACTACTATTACCCTGTTAACGGTCAACACACCGTGGCTGCTGTGAAGGAGTTGGAAGGTAAGCCAATATTCGATTTGTGGAAGATGCACTCATGGCCAGCGAGAGTAGTGTGGTTCTCCGACCGAGATTTCGAGGGCTATAGGCAGGTTTGTCTCAACGAGAACATGAGACACAAGATGTCTAAGCAGCGATCGCAGAAGGCCGCGTTATTGGACATGCGGGAGGCATGGGAGAAAGAAGGAAGGTCGATGGCCATTCAAGGGAACCCTTCCGGCAAGGAGGCCGAAAAACAAAAGTTTTCCGAATTCCAAAAGTTGCTTTTGGGAAAGAGTCCGAACGAAGCTCACTGGACGTTGGCAAAAAAAGATTTGTCGCTCGCCGACGAGGAGTATGTCGCTGCCGTTGGCAATGCATTGAGGCAGTGGATGCAGCTCGTGACGGCAGGTGATGACATTTTCCGCAAATCCATGGAGTTCTACGCGAAATGGGCGATGGGGAAGTTGTTGGGCGGCGACGGCAAGACGCCATTGTCGAGGCCGGACAAATACATGCCAGACAAATCTCCGGGTCTGCAAGCAATTCCGGAAATGGGCTCGAAAGGGGCGGCTGGTGAAACGAAGATGGGGTGGCTGGTCCGGGTCCTGCCGCCTCCAACCAAAAAGAAAACACAAGTGGACGACAAGTTTTTCGTGGTCGTGAAGGAGCCAGACATGTTTTGTTGGCAGTGTCTCACCGACATGACCGATGTCGAGAAACTATTGATCCTCGACGACATTCTCGCACTAAGGGGAGTGTTCGTCCAATCCGCGGGCGGGCATCTGAAGTGTCAGCATAAACCTGGAATTAAAGACATGGTCACGACGACGAAAGTGGACCGTGTGATGCTCCGTATGTTCCACTACATCTTGTTCCTTGAAACGGAGCAAGACGAAAGTGTTTGGTGCTACGGGAGCCCTTTTTTCCGCACGAGGGCGGCTTCTAGAGGAGTTCGGGCCGCAGGGCCTCACGAAACAGGTGTGGGTCGAAATGCGAAAGCATTTCCAGGGCGCGGTGGAGTACGTGAACACTTGCAAACGTACTCTTCTGCACGAGAAGGACTCCCTCGACGACGCGAAGAAATTGTACGAGGACGGCAGGTTCCCTAAATCTTTCGAAAAGTCTGTCCGTTCCATCTTGCGACGGACGGAAGAAGAAGTTCGAGACGCGATCACGGTCAGCAGGGATGTGGGGCACATCAAATGGCCCGACCTCAACCGGGTGACCAGCCTTATTCCTTTCGCTTTCCCGCCTTCCCAAGCTCACAGTCATGTCACTGCGATCCGTGAGGTTGTGCAACATTACGTGTGCAACCTGTACGTCCTCGATTTGTGTGATCCCACACTCCTCACAGACTGGCGAGAAGACGATTTCGCGAACTTGCAAGGCGTTCTCCAAACACTTTCGCCAACACACTGGGCACTTGTGGTCTTTTTCCCCTCTCGTTGGGAGCTCAGTTTCTTGAAAGGCATGACCAGGCTTAGTGTCTATCACGTCAGGACAGGGAAGTGGGTGCGCAATGCACAAAAGCAGGCCACTGTTCGGGAAGGCAATATGCTGGTTGAGGAGTGTGACCGCCTGTACGTGATCTTTAATGGCGAAAAGTTGGAAGACAACACATTCGCAGTCTACCCGGCCAGAAGTCTGACAAAGGCTTCCCGTGCTCATGGTCGAAGTCCGGCCAAACACACAGTGCCGGCCCGCTCGAAAGCTGTCTGTTCGTCGGACCCATCAGGACAGGCTGTGGCGTGTTTCGACGTGCCAGAAGAGGAAAGGTTCTCTCGTAGCATGTGGGAGGACGGTGGCGTGACAAGTGTTAGTGGACCTGCTTATGGGGAGATGGAGCAGAACCCGTCCCGTCTACTAAGTCTACTCGAAAACTTTTGCAAAGTTGGGCAAATTCTTTTTTTCTTTGGGAAGGCGCATGCGTCTGTCGTGTGGGAGCTCATGCGCACCGGTCGGAACGTCGTCTCGTTGGAGAAGGAGGCGAGGATGATCGATTACCTTCACGAGTTCGTGAAGGCACGCGTTGCAAACACTCGCAATGCTTGCGAGTTTGTCCTCACCACCGGCGAACGAAACTGGGATCCCAAGCGTGACATGTATTGGAAAATGTCGGGGAACAAAATGACGGAGGTTTGGGACTTCCTTTTCCAACCCGGACCGTTTGGTCCTACCGACCTTGAATACACTCGACGGAGAAACCTGGTGTTTAGTGTGCTCAATAGGTACGACGATGCACCCAGGGAGTCTGTCTCGCATTTCCTGAGAAGGCTGGAGCACGTTTACTTCACGCTGGCCGAACCGCTCACCCTCGAAAACTACAAGTCACAGTTTGACGAGGAGGACCCTTTCGACGCTGAAGACATGGAGGAGCTGAGCGACTCGGAAACCTTCGATTTCGATTCCATGCCACTTCCTCGAGTGGTTGGACAGGTTGGTGATGAAGAGGAAGGTGACCCTCAAAGATATAGCACGTCCCCTGCCGGTTTGAAGCGTGTGTTTCGGCGTGAAAGAGTCGACGACCAATCGTCTGATGATGGGGAGGAAGAGAGAGACTATGATTACGAACCTTGTGACAAGCTCCCTGGGGACCATGATACCTGGGAGAATGACAGACTCTTCTTCTTCAGTAAGCATCACCGGTTCACGTCGGAGGATGTCTCGGGACACGACGTCGTCTGGCACCCGAGGATATTCCAACCTGCTGTGAGGAATGGAATTTGGGTCATGGCAATGAAGGAGGCCGACGGCAAGTGGAGTGGACTGAAGAGATTGGGAGCGGGTGCATTTAAGAGAACGGCGAGAACTGCTCTGGTGGAGCATTTGAGTCTCATGAACCCCGAGAGGAACGAACCGGACGTCGCTGCGTATGCAGAACAAAAGCTAAATGAGTTGTACGCCAACAACATATTGGAGTTTCGAGCGCCTTTCTACACACTCGAAACGACACCGTCTCGTGGCATTGACTGGCGCATGCCGCAACCTCCGTCAGGCGGTCAGCATCCGGGAGTGGGTGGAGAAGGAGACGAAGGAGATGGCGGAGACGGCGGAGGAAACGACTCACAGTTTGCTGGAAAGAGGACGGGCGAGACATCGTCGGTAGAGAAGGCGTCCGGCGGAAAGGGGTCAGGCGGAAAGGACTCCTGCGGAAAGGGGTTGGGCGGGAAGGGGTCGGGCGGGAAGGGGTCGGGCGGAAAGCGTAGAACGTYCGGGAGTCCCCAGTATATGGGTACTGACCCTCACTGCGCAGGGAGTCGAGATTCCGACATGCGAGACGAGGCCACCCTGAGGTCTGATCAAGTGCGAGTAGATTCGCACTTGTCTGCGAGGACTTTGTTTCCCGTAGCCGAGGAGAGTCCATCTCGCCGTGCGCAGCAAAGGTCTTCTGTGCTCAACACCTTGCTCCTGAAAGAGGGCGCGTCTTCGTTTTGCCTGGAGGGCGGGATGCCTGCATTGTGAAGGAGCGAAGGTGCGACCTTCGGTTCCCTCGGCTCGGGCGACCGCCACAAACTCCGAATACATTTGGATTTGCTGAAGTCGCCCTCAACCATAAGTGCTCCTCACGCAACAGTTCCGCGGGGCCAAGAAAATGTCACGTCCTACCCCCCGCATCTTCAGTTGGACACAGGGTTGCCCTGCTCGCCTCCGTTCTCATGTGTTGAGACTCGAGACTGGCGGTCTCGCGACGTGCTGGAGGGGCCCCCTGCAGGAGTGTTGGAGACCGGGGGTAGCGAGCACGAACGTCACACTCCTGGGCAAGATGAGCGCTCTCCAGGAATGCGTGTTGTACATCAGGAAGAGGAGACTCAACGCTGGGAGTCTCCCAAAGTGTTGGAGACCGGGGGGAGCAAGTGTGAACGTCATGCTTCGGAGGGTGTGTTCGTGGACACTCGCAGCGAGAGTGCAGGAGCTCCAGGGGAAACGCATGCTCTACAGCGGGGAGAGGAGACTCGACACGGGCCGGCTCGTGAAGACGTGAAGTGGATCCACGCACGAGCGCTGATGATCGGGACTTCCGAAGAGGTTCTGCACAGTCGTTCAGCTGTGGATACGACGCGAGAGGGTGCGGTTAAGGGAGGTCAATGGACGTCCGTGCAAGCTCCTGTTCTTGGCGACGATGAAGACAAAGAAGAACCCGCGGTGGACGCTCGGGTTCATGGCGATGAGGAAGGCGGCGAACCCGTGGTGGAAGGCGGTGAGGTGACTGTCGATATCCGGACGGATCCTCAGCGGAAAGATGGTGATTGTTCGCCCACCCGTTGCGGTGAAGAACAGGGTGGTCGACCGTCTGTCCTAAGCTCCGCTCGGGGAATGGTACTTTATGAAGCCATAGATTTGGGTGATGACTCGGCAGCCACCGAGCTGGTTAGCGACTCAGGGGTGGCCGAGATGCAGAACGTCGAATCCTCCGTGGAAGGCGTTGAGGTGGCCGTCAGCATCAAGATGGATCCAGAGCGGAAAAATCATGACTCCTTGTCCACCCGTTGCGGTGCCGAACGGGGTGATCGAGCATCTGTCCTCAGTACCGGTCGGGAAATGGTGCTTCATGAACGCATCGACTTGCCAAGCGACTCAGCTGCCACCGAGATGGTTAGCGACACAGCCGTGGCCAAGGTGCAGAACCTTGAATCGTCCGTGGACGTTGGCGCAGTGGCGCGACAGGAGGGCGAGTTCCCTCAAAGGGCTCCCGAGGACGGTAAGATTTGTGAATAGGACCACTCGCCTATCTGTCACTAGCCAGCTCTGTGTTCGTCCAAATTGATGTCATGGGCTAATGTACCTATTACCACTTCTTAAAAAAAAGTTTGTGGGTTGTGGGTTGTTTTCTATGTTCTACAGGTGTGAGGTTGTTAATGTCCCTGTCCATGAAGCCTTCAGAAGCCGTGCGCGAGAAACGTCTTTCAGGGAGGTCATTGGCCGCTTTACCGAAGAAGTCGTCAAGTGAAGGGTTGTTTAAAAGGGTCCAGATGCCTCGCCTTTCCCAGAGAGCTGTCAGGGTTCTGAAGGCTTGTGGAATAGATAAGGAGGAAGGTCTGTGGAAATATTTGGCTTCATCTATTGAGAGCGTTACTGCTTTGTCTGATGGGTCTGATGACGAAGGCAAATAGGGTGTCTTGAAAAACCAGTGTCCTAAGTACATCGCGAAGGACACATTCAACAGTTGAGGATACAACTTTTCTGGGAAAAGGGCAGACAGTTCTTAGCCATTCCGCCCCAGGGTTTGTGCTCCCTCCTCACACTTGTTCGTGGGTGTTTGTGCAGTTGGGGCAACATCATGTTTTCGCGTTCCCTTGCCTACTGCGGAGCTTAGCGCTACGGACTTCAGAATGTTGCAGGACATCTGCGGAGATTTCAGCAACGACCATCAGGTGGTTTCCTCGCTTCGCAGAGGTCCCAGTTCGATTCCGTTGATCAGGAAAAGTCTTTAAACTCTTGTCTAGGGGCGATGGCTTTCCGACGAGGTGGTGCAGTCGTACTTGGCCTTGCTTGCCAACGCTGCGTTACCTGGGGGTCCCTCTCTCAACATTTTCAGTCCCTTTTTCTATACCAAGCTCGTCGGTGGCGGGTATCGACATGAAAGGGTTGCGAAATGGACAAAAGATGTGGATATTTTCTCGTACGGCATGGTCTTGATTCCTGTCTATAAACATGGAGTGCATTGGATCCTATTATGTGCCCGAGACCAAGGGCTGGAGTACTACGACTCCCTCCTGCAAGACGATGGCGGTTTTTCTTCCGATGTGCTTGCGAACTTCATGCGATATCTCCGTGACGAAGCGGTTTGTCGATATGGTCAACAATCCAAACTAGATCTCCCGGCGCCCAAGGTGGTTGCTCATGGTGTCCCTCAACAGTCGGACGGGTCAAGCTACGGTGTTTTCATGCTCGCCTTCGCTTCTTTTCTTGCACGCAGCTATCCGTCACCATTTCCGATAGCCCAAAGCGACATTGCAAACATCAGGCTGAGGATTGAGGTGGACATACTCCAAGGCTCTGAATAATACCCCTGTCGTTAAAATACGCGCAGTTTTTTTTTCCAAAGGCCATAAGCAGAAGTGCGAATCTATTCCCACTTCATCTAGCAGTCAGCCGGTTCGAGCTGTGCTGTTGTTTTGATGAGGTATCGGATTGCAGTGGACGTTTTGGTCAAGTACACGCTTAGGTGTCGATGTGAATATCCCAGCCTCGTGCTGTAGCAATTTTTTAAGGGTTCTTCATTTCGTGGAACCTGTCATCTTTACTCGTAGGACTTTCGACACCGCCTTGCTGCCTTTGTTTGTTTTCGGGTTGTTCTCATTGTTTGTCGCGCAACATCAGCTAGAGGGTAGCAGCGGACACTTACGTGAAGTAGAAGCTTAGATGCCGATGTAAATATCCCAACCACGTGGTGCAGTTCCTTTTAAGTAGACGCTTACATATCGGATATGAATATCCCAACTTTGTGCTCCTTTTGTTTATTTTCGGTTGTTCTCCTTATGTCCTTTGAGACCGCGGCAGGACCGTATTGCATTCCTTCGTTTCGAGGTTGTGCTCCTCTGTTACTCATGTGAAAGATACCGACGATTTATTCTTGGTCGCCAAATTGTTTCGTGCTTATCTCTTTCGTTCGCAATACTTTGCGGTGTGAAAGCCCCTTTCCCCCGCCCCACCCCGACCACCCAGCTTTCATATGTTTTGGCTCGCCCTTGTTCTGCGTGTGCCGCCCCGTTTTACGGTTCACCCCCTCTGCTTGTCTCCATTGAATATTGTCAGTTGGTTCCTTATGACAGTTGCGAACTTGTTCTCCATTCGGAAACCAATTGTCGCCAGAATGTATGTATGCTTGTAGTTGATTTACGGATTCAGCGGTGCACTAAATGATTAGCAATTTTGTTATCCCCGGAATACATCTCGTGCTCTCCACGGAATGCTGATTGTTTTTTCCGTATGAGAAATGCGGACATATTCGCACTTTGGATGCCGTACATTTGTGATTGAACTGTTGGTTTCATATGAGAAATGACACCCAGTTTTCATATGTTTTGGCTCGCCCTTGTTGTGCGTGTGCCGCCCCGTTTTACGGTTCACCCCCTTTGCTTGTCTCCATTGAATGCTGCTTGTAGATTCCTTATGACTGTTGCGAACTCGTTCTCCATTCGGAAGCCAATTGTCGTCAGAATGTATGTGTGCTTAAGGTTGTTTTACGGATTCAGCAGTGCACTAAATGATTACTAATTTTGTTATCCCCGGAATACATCTCGTGCTCTCCACGGAATGCTGGTTGTTGTTTTCGTATGAGAAATGCGAACATATTCGCACTTTGGCTCCATGTACTTTGTGATTTTTGGAAAGCCTCCGTGCACTTTGCAATGTGGGATTGTATGATATTTTGCGTTCAACGATTTTTTGAAACGTCTCTGTGTGCTTTGCAATTTGCCCTTGAATGAATTTTCTGCAATGAATGGTTTCAAGAAACTGTTCGTGTGCTGTGAGACCTCACCTTTGGAAAAACAGTCGGCAACTTCACCTCGATGCACTTTGGAAAATGTTTTCACCTCGATGTTTGCGATGTCTCTGTGTGCTTTACAATTTCACTTGAGATGTTTTCATCTCGACGTTTGCGATGACAAGAGATACTTGTATGAATGGATATGAATCTTCTACACAAAAAGATTTAGGGCGTTTTCAACCTGTACTATACAAATGACAAGCCAATGTCCATATTGAATCGTCGCGTTGATGGACTGCGCAATTGCTTCTCCATCAAAGTGCGAGTTCAATCGCACCTCTAGTGTGAGCCCTGAGCAATTTCCTCGCACTTTGCTTCACGTCGAGGAGGGGATCCAACGCACCGCCGGTAAACACCCGCACATCACAAAATAAGAGCACGTCCCAGTTGGAACATCGTCGGGCTCTTGCGATGTCGACTCCCACATGATGACTACACTGAACAGCGGTAGGATAACCGCTCCGCCTCTCCGATGTGGATCTAACGGTGGATTGCGTCAAATCTGCTCTCATAGATCCGCGTCGGGGATGGGGGACGGCATCCGACCAAAGTTTGCTTGTAAGGCATCATATGATGTGTCGTTATAACCGGCATCCAGAATTGCTTGGTGAGCATCTAGTGCTACGCCAATAAGTTTCAAACACGGCAGCAAAGTCCCCTAAGAGTATTCTTTGTCGGGTCCTCACCTCATCGACTCTCAAGATGACTACAACCAACAACGGTAGGATGGCAGGCCCGCCTATCCGATGTGGCTCTCACGGTGGAGTGCGAAACTCTGCTCTCAAAGATCCACACCGGGTAGAAGGTCCTGCAAGCAGTCGCTGCTTGCTTGTAAGGCATCTTATGATGTGTNCGGTGGAGTGCGAAACTCTGCTCTCAAAGATCCACACCGGGTAGAAGGTCCTGCAAGCAGTCGCTGCTTGCTTGTAAGGCATCTTATGATGTGTCGATATGACCGACATCCAGAACTGCTTGGTGACCAGCTAGTGCTACACCAATATGTTCCAAACACGGCAACAAAGTCCCCTGACAGTGTTCTTTGCCGGGTACTCACCTCATCGACTCTCTCAAGATGACTACAGCTGACAGCGGTAGGATGGCAGGTCCACCTATCCGATGTGGATCTCACAGTCGAAAGCGAAACTCTGCTCTCAAAGATCCACACTGGGTAGAAGGTCCTGCAAGCAGCCGCTGCTTGCTTGTAAGGCATCTTATGATTTGTCGATATAACCGACATCCAGAAGTGCTTGGTGAGTATCTAGTGCTACTCCAATAAGTTCCAAAAACACGGCAGCAAAGTCCACAAAGAGTTTTCTTTGTCCGGTCCTCACCTCATCGACTCCCTCAAGATGACTACAACTAACAGCGGTAGGATGGCAGGTCCACCTATCCGACGTGGATCTCACGGTGGAGTGCGAAACTCTGCTTTCAAAGATCCATACCGGGTAGAAAGTCGTGCAAGCAGCCGCTGCTTGCTTGTAAGGCATCTTATGACGTGTCGATATAACTGACATCCAGAACTGCTTGGTGAGCATCTAGTGCTATGCCAATATGTTCTGAACACGACCGCAAGGTCCCCTAAGAATGCTTTTAGCACTGGAGTCCTCTGACTGCCAACTGTTTGGCGCTTCGTGAAGGTTGACACTTCTTGAAGGTGGTCTGCCACTTCTTAAAGGTGCTCAGTCACCAAACAGATCACGACCTGACATCAACCTCGATAACTGCGAATTGACTCGCTGTTCAACTAGAGTCTCTCTCTCTCTCTCTCTCTGTCTATCTCTCTCTTCATATTAAATCATCGCGCTGATGGACTGCGCAACTGCTTCTCCATCAAAGTGCGAGTTCAATCGCACCTCTGGTGTGAGCCCTGAGCAATTCCCTCACACTTTGCTTCACGTCGAGGAGGGGATCTAACGCACCGCCGGTACGCACCTGCACATCATGAAACAAGAGCACGTCCCAATTGGAACATCGTCGGGTTCTTGCGATGTCGACTCCCACATGATGATTACACTGAACAACGGGAGGATGACCGTTCCGCCTCTCCGATGTGGATCTAATGGTGGATTGCGTCAAATCTGCTCTCATAGATCCGCGTCGGGAATGGGGGACAGGATCCGACCACAACTTGCTTGTAAGGCATCATATGATGTGTCGTTATAAACGACATCCAGAACTGCTTGGTGAGCATCTAGTGCTACGCCAATTAGTTCCAAACACGGCAGCAAAGTCCCCTAAGAGTGTTCTTTGTTGGGTCCTCACCTCATTGACTCTCAAGATGACTACAGCCAACAGCCGTAGAATGGTAGGTCCGCCTATCCGATGTGGATCTTACGGTGGAGTGCGAAACTCTGCTCTCAAAGATCCACACCGGGTAGAAGGTCCTGCAAGCAGTCGCTGCTTGCTTGTAAGGCATCTTATGATGTGTNCGGTGGAGTGCGAAACTCTGCTCTCAAAGATCCACACCGGGTAGAAGGTCCTGCAAGCAGTCGCTGCTTGCTTGTAAGGCATCTTATGATGTGTCAATATGACCGACATCCAGAACTGCTTGGTGAGCATCTAGTGCTACACCAATATGTTCCAAACACGGCAGCAAAGTCCCCTGACCGTATTCTTTGCCGGGTCCTCACCTCGTCGACTCCCTCAAGATGACGACAGCTGACAGCGGTAGGATGGTAGGTCCACCTATCCGATGTGGAT